GGTGGCAAAAAGCAGCGGAAGAAAATAGGGACACATGCTCTTAGCTGCAGGAACTCTGTGACTGGAAACTAGGATGCACAAACGTACACCGAGAGCAATTAAAAGGACAAGGACGAAATGAGAGTAGGCAACCCCAAAGTAGACCAATTCAATCGATTTAACATCCTGTTGCAAAGGCACGGGAATGGACATGCTCCACTCCTCAGCATCCCTGGAAACTCCACGCCTCCACTCCTTCGGCATCCTTGCCTCCGTGCCTCCGTGCGCTTTGACGCTTCCTGCAGTTTTCATTTATTTTCGCCCAAACAAAGTTTGATTGTATCAGGTGCTTTTGCCCCACTGGCGTAGCTCGCTCATTGTTCTCTGCTCCTGTGTATAATTATACCCTTGCAAAGAGGGTGTCACAATTTGTTCCTGATGTTTGTCACGCCGAGAACGACTCCTGCTTGACCCCACATACTTCTCATTCCTCCTTGCATGCTCCATACACCTAGACTCCAAAAAAATGTGGGTTCTTTTACGAAAGGCGACACTTTATGTTCGAAACTGTTGTGGATGGCGGGTATTTTATAGTCGGATTCTTCAAACACGCCGTCCATACTTGCTTTTATTTTCTATTGCCTGTCCTGCTCATTTCGCCACACACTCGACTGGGCAGCCTCATCGCGTTTTTAATTGAATTTGAAATTTATTTTATGGGATTTTTCGATTAAAACTTGTCAGGACAACATGGTGAGGCGACATTCCTGGCCAAGAAATCAGTATACCATCAAGTAGGCGTTGTCTGCTCGTCCTGCTAAAGAGTAAACTTTTGGTGTATTCTCATGACCTTACAGGGTATATATGTTAGCCATGCTGCGCCCTTTTCGATCCTATCGAGCACTATATATGTATGCCATAGCGGCATTAGGGGCATATGGTGAGTGTTTATCAATTCCGAATGGCGCTGCAAACAGGGAATTGCATACAACTCATGTCGTTGAGAACCTGTCGACACATGGTGACTTAACCCAGTTAATAGAACTAGTCAAAGGAATTTTCGCCCAGTGAGTCTTTTATGCCAGCCCAGCACCCAAATCCTGCAACATAATATGGATAGTGTCATGGATGCCTCAATTATGTTATTTCCAACTGAGCCAACAAAACCGACTGACTATGACTACCCCCGCCATACCGAAACCATCTGGAGCGTCTTCGTCTTCGTCTTCATCTGCCAAACTTGAACTCCAGCCCCTCCGGAATACGTTATCTTTCCCCGCCGCTCTGGGTTCGATTTATATATTGCCACACGCTGCGGGGAAGCGGAATCGGGCTCGGATGCAATTGTAATGGACAAATTCGGTTGGTTTACGTGCACGACAAGCTGCTAGACAAGCCCACTAAAATTTAACCCAGCGCAAGTCACTTTCCAGGGCATATGCAGTCAAGTGATGTGTACGTACGCCATGCCGGCTCTGTTTGCCATCCTTTGAGTGGTTGAGAGTCCTCCTTCTTTCGGCCGTAGTATTCTCGTTGTGGTGGCTGGAGTGGTGGTCCTGGCGGTCCTGGTGGCGGTGGTGGTAGTGATGGTACTGGCGGTTGTAGAAGTAGTATTAGTCCCCGAGCTCTGCGCTGGTGTGCAATACTTGAAATGCAACAAAATTTATGTGCATATGCATACGGCATACGGCATATGGCATACGGCATACGGCATATGGCATATTGTAGGCAGGAAGCCCGGCCCAAGAACGTAGCCTTTGTCTGCCATGCCCCTTTCTCCGGACACCGCCCACCGACCCCCTCTTTTACTGGGGCGAGCCTGATACAACAGCCACAACTGCATATTCTCGACTTGGGCTGCCAGCAAACTTAACAAATGAGCGCTTGAGAGTCCTGCCAAAAAGGGAAAAGCTGAAAGTTGAGCGCCGCTAAGCTGGCGCCAAAAGTTTCCAGTTTCTCCGTTTCTCCGTTTCTCCGTTTCTGCAGTTCTCCAGTTCTGCGCCTCTGCATTTCTCCATTTCCACGGAGCAGAACAAATGTTGGAAACAACTTGGAGCAAACTTAGCTGTGCGAGGCCAGTCAAGGAAGCAGCCAGTTTGAATGGGAGCACAGTTTGCGAAAGTTCACTAGCACTAGTGCCAGTGCTAGCACTTCTACTCCACTCAGTACTCGGTACTCAGTAGTGTGGCCAGGGCAAACAAAGTGAGTGCAGTTTGTTGTCCTCGCCTCGTCAGGAGCGACGGAAAGTTTGAAGGCACTCGCGAGGGCTGAGCTGATGTATTGTGCGAATCATAGAATAGTTATAAAAAGCAGAGGGAAACTTTTTAGCCCTGCCCACTGCCCCTTGCACGCATTTGGGGGAAAATCCCCATTTGTAACCGTTACTCATTCAGCAAATGGGCTATAAGTTTGCCGAAGGTAGATGTCATCGTTCTTGATCAGCATTTAAAAGTCCATCCAACATCGAGTTGCATCGCAAAAGCCCTTTCACATTCTCCTAAATTAAACGAACTATGAGCAACGTGAAAAAGGCCCAAAATAATACCCAAAAAATTCTTTGGTGGGACCATACCATACGAATATTATGCGGATGTTATATGTACATACGTATGCGTTCATTCGCATACCGATTAGCAGTAGTAAATTTGATGGCAGAGATAAGTTTTCAGGGCTTCCAAGTTTGTATTGTCAATATCTACCTTTGTTCTGAGTTCGGATTTAATTTGGTTAGCAGATGAGCGCTTGCACCTGGGAGAAAACTGAAGTCAGAGTTGAACCGTACGCTTGTGTGAGAAGGTGGGAGGTGGCTCTTTATAAAACACACCGGGGGTTAGACACCCACACTTTGCACTCGCACTCAGACAATGCAGTATAAGTGCCTGGCTACACATAATGTGCGAAAAATATGCATTCTTATATATGCACGGCGAAAAAAAAGATGGCACCACGCTGACCTATTTGTAGCAAACTGTACCGAATGTACCGCTGCAAGCTCTTGAACTGAACCATATACCATATACTAAGATCTCTTATTTGATTCCCCGACTTTTTGGTGTGGAACGCGGAAGCGACTGGACACACATGTGTGTTGTACTTATATTTTTGATGTAATTTGCCAAGCAAGCAGAAAAATGTTAATATCTATTTGCGTTGCGAATATTAAATGGGTGCCAAGCAGGCGTCAGGTTTTAGTTTTTTTCTCCGTGCACGGCGTACATGCATATGCATCCCAGTGCTGCAAAAAGTATGCAAATAGAACACAATTTGCATGCAAAGTGCCATCAAGAGAGCGACAGAGTGCGAGCGTGCGAGCGAGCGAGAGGGCGAGAGAGCTGGCGCTGGAAAAGTGGAGTGAATCTTATTAGCCGCGCCGAGAATAAACTGCTAGGTAGGTAGGGCTAAGGGCTGAGGGCTAAGAAACGGACGAGCCAGGTGGAGCCGGCGTTCATCACGTACGATTTAAGTCGCGTTTGAAGACCTTGTCGACCTCAGCCAGTTGTAGTTGTAACCTTTTCATTCGCACCTTTCGCTGAAAATTGGCGGAGTAGTCGTGTCAAATAAACACATGTTCGGTCGTATATGAAGATCTCATATGTATAAGGATGTACATAAAACGATTTAGGCAACTATATAATCCAGCATGGTAAAACAAATAGTGAATATTTTGTTCCCTACCCGTATATGTATCATTCAACGTAGAAATTGCAAAATAATTCATTCATGATAAAGTTCGTGGTAAAATTCGAACTAGTTTTCATAAAAATATTTGTAATTAAAAAACTTCGAGCCGAAAGCACTTGTGTACATACATATATATATGAACAAATTCAGAATTTACTTTAGCTACAAAGTAATGCACTTTTACTTTATTCACTTTATTCATTTTCTTTCTGAGCTTCATATTTGATATTTGTATACGCCATTTGCAGTTTTTGCTCAAATACAATAAAAATACGAAACATTGGTTTAAAGTGAAGAATATTTTTTTATGCAGGATTAGGATTCATACAGTTTTTCTTTACTACTGAGCAAGAATTTCGTTTTGCGAAGCATTGAAAATAGAGCACTAATATCACAAATTGAGCAAATTATATTTCTTATTTAATTACACAACAATGCTCCGTACTTCATGGCATTTATTCCGCTCAAGTTTTGCCCAATTTTTGTACTTTCCTGTTGGCCATTTGTATACGTCATCTGCGATTCTTGTTCTTATGGATGCAAGAATGACCTCGGAACAAATTGTTGTTGCACTGTTTTGGCCAGCTTGTGCCTTCCTGTATCGCATGTTTTGATTTCTTGCGCATTTTAGCCATTTAAATGCGGGGAATTTTCTTTAAAACGAACATTTCTGCCGGAATTTCGCTCGACTCTTTTTCTTAAACTCTGGCAAGCGCAGCACAACGCGACAAAACACTGCCCATTTTTATTTGTATTTTTAAATTTTTTTACATTTTCATTTCCACTTTTATTTTCACATTTTTGTAGTTGTTTTGGCTATGTGTGCTGTTTGTGTGTGGGCGGAAGTTCGCGTGCCATTGTTTGTGTGTTTGTGTGTGTGTGTGTGTGTGCGAGGGTGTGTGCAAAAGTTTTACGAGCAAACCGAACTGACATGTTAATTATTTTCCGTGGAACTCCAAAGACGAATAATACGCCGGCAAAGTACGTGTGGCGTAGGAAGTGGGCGGTAATGAGCTAAAAAAATTGCTGCCACAATGTGGGCCACTTGCCACTGGAGAGGGGAAAGGGGAAAGGGGTATGCGGCATGTGGCGGGGCAAGTTGGGGGAAATGGGGGAAAGTGCAGAATGCCATGGCAAATTGGCCCAGAAACATTAATCAAATCGACTGGGCAAAGTGGCATCTAACGATCCGCAAAAGTTTTACGAGTTCGTTGCTTGGTTCTTGCAGATAATTGCATTTGACTGCATTTGTGGTGGCTTTATTACAATAAACTACAAAGAGTTTCCGTTTCGCAGATGGGTAATATTTTTGGTTTCAAGTTAACTTTCGCATAACTTACCCATTTAATAAAAAAACCTGGTAATCTGCAAGAGAAGAAAGCAAATTAGCTACAATGTACACAAGATGACAGGCCTTCAGGAGTTTTGGTTTGAACAGTATACCTGTTACATAGAATATTTTTAAACAAGACAGCTCCTAATGGCCAAGGAAATTCCCGTGGAGTTTTATGGCAGGGAAATTCTATATCTGTTTGTAAATCTGCCGCACCCTGGGGAGAGTAAAAAACTGCTATATATGTACATATGTATGTATACTATGTGGCTGCCCAAAGTCTAAATATATAGTTTTCGATGGTCGGAGGGAGGGTGAAATCGAAATCGAAACTCCCAAAATTGCTCTATTAGTTCGGAACTTTATTGTGCGGATGAATCTTTTGTGTACAATTCACACTGCGGGCTGTTTGGTTTTCTCTTACCATTTTTGTTGGAAACGAAAATTGTTGAATTGTGTTTTGTTTATTTTGATTTTTTTTTGTTTTAAATATAAATACTTAAAAATAAGCACAGTACACTTTGGTTTAGTATCGAAAATCTAGCGAAATCGGATTAGTTTTTTAGTTTATCAATGCATTTATTGTAGCACCTTTAATACTATTTCAGCAATAATTTAGCAGTGGTTACCCAACCCCCTCGAGATTATCGCCCAGAGCAGGGCATGGATTCGTTACCCAAATCCTCCGCTTTCCCAATTCTCCGCTTTGCTTTTCCCATTCAGGAGGGAGGAGGAGCAGAGGATGTCAATCCAACTACATGGCAAAATCCATAAAGATTTGGTTCGCCCAATGCCCGGAGGCCTTCATGGAATATAGGTGCAAAAATGATTGGGCGGAGGTGAAAGCGTGGAAAGTGGGGAATTCGGGGGCGTGGCTGCTGCAGAATCAAACAATAAATCTCCTTTTGCCAGCGACGTTACACACACTAAGCTCATTTAGATTTATGTACCCCAAAACTGTTTCGGGAAATCCATTTGTGCGCTGCAAACTTTTCTGCTTACGCATTTTCCCGCCTCCTTCACCTCACCACCTCACCACCGCAGCTATTTGGGCTTTTTGGCTGGAACACCAAACACATCGAGTAGCGGAGTACCAGAGTACCAGAGTACCAGATACTAGATTTGCTCACGCGGAAAACTCGGGCAACGCCTCTCCCGCTTTTCCCCACTTTTCCCCATTTGCCACCGCTCAAAAATCGCGAAAATCTGTTGCCTCCACAGCGCCACATTTCTTTTGATGGTAGAAAAGTTAGCATTGTCAATATCAATACAACTTTTTACAAAATTACCATAAATGTTTGATTTGAACAAAAGCTGTGCAAATGTATTTCAGCGATGCAACAAATTTTGTTGTACCCATCAAATCAGCCAGTAATGCCTATTTTATTATTTAAAATAAAATAAAAAGTTTGAAACGTCAAGTGAATTGCCTGAAGGCTTAGCTTACCCTTACCCTTAATTGAATGCTGATTTGAATGGGTTTCCTTGCAAAATAGCAAACAAGCTCTTCTATATTGAAGTCCTTCGATGCCGATCGAGAATCGCTTTTAGCCAACGCGTAACGCGTGCCATAATATATTTATTTCTATTGCGAATTGCTTATAAAGTATTTAAAAGCCCCGAGGAGCTGATTCGATTGCATATTTATGGCTGAGTTTGGCCGAGCAGGCGGAGGAGCCAAAGGAGTACGGATTCCTTGACTGAGTCGGGGAGAAGTCGCGATGTAGTTTTCTAGCTGACAGCACAGCAGTTGCATTTGCAGCTGCACTCGCCGCACAGGAATCACGCTTCTTGTCCACGCAGCAAAGTCAACGTCAGTGGATGTGGATGTGGATGTGGATGTGGTGTGGGTGTGCACTCAACCAGGACACCTGTCTCCAGCTCTGCGCCTTCTGCCACACGGATAGATGCAGTCTACTGTCGTGTAGCCTGCATGCACACAAGTGCACATGTGCCCAAGTGCAGGGGGAGCAGCAACCTAAGAGATTCACTCGATTTAATTCAGTTTGTTTCCCCAGATCGAGCGCCCATTTTGGCTGCTGGCGCACAGGAAGCTGTGAAGCTTTTCCCGCTAACATTCCCGATAATATGTTAGAATAAGAAGTGAGTACATCACCTAAATAACGACATGCCAAAGTGAGTTAGCAAGCATTCCGGGCTGATGATTCTCGATTGCTTCCATGTGAATCGGGCATGTGCATCTGCGAAAATTGACTCTTTTCGGCTCCATCTACGTGTTTTTTCTGTGAATCTAAGCCGCTACTTGACCATCATTTGGCAAAAGCTCTCACTAAATAACACCGGGGAATACATTTCAAATTATTCAAAAGCAGCTGTGAAAATCTGTGACAGGTTGAATACGTTAGGACATTCGAAGGGCCTCCCCGAAAGGAAAAAAGGAGAAATTTATATCACACAATGGAAATAAAAACAGGTTCCAAGAAAAACCAGAACAAAAAACCAGCAGAACGAAAGGACAGTAATGTGAATCGACGTTTGACTTGCGAAACCTTGATGTCACTCCCTACAAAATGCTAGTATCTGTATCTGTATCTGTTGAATGCCCAATGCGATGTCAGAACCAATTTGATTCTTTTGTATCGCGCCCAGATCTTTGGGGCTCTAGTCCATGAGCCAATGTTAGTAGTAGTCGTAGTAGTCAATAAAGAAATACTTTAAAAAGTCAAACGAGGCCGAATCTCTCTCTCTTTATGACTCCGGAGACTTAGATTTGGGCATAAATGAAGCATTTTGGGCCGTTTGGTTCGCTGTTGTGCCACATCCGCTCCCTAATCTCGCCGTGATTTCCACTTCCACGCTCACTCCTACTTGCAGTGTCCCCAAAATACAGGCGGTACAATCAGTTGTAACATTTCCAGGCTTATCGGTTCAACCCGTGAGGCCCGCCAGCTGAAAAAGAGGCCCACCACGCTGACATGAGCTCAGGGGACCGGGACGTGGTGGCCATGTGGGATGTGGGATGTGGGAAGTGGTCTGCAGGATGTGGGAAGTGGTAGGGTGTGCAGCATGTTGGACGTGGCCTGTGGGCTGTGTACTGTGTGTGCCGTTGGATGTCGGAGGTAGAAGTGAACGGTCAAGACCGCCGGCCTGGGCAACCGTTTTTCAATGGCTTTTGAGGCTTTTGTTATTTTTGGTCCCCGAGCCCCAGTGTTTTCCCCATTCCCCATTCCCCATTCCCTATTCGCCATTCTATTTTTTTCCCCAAGCCCCATCTGTGCTGGATTTGTCAGCCCTGCGACGATGCAGATGGCAAAGAAGGTGCGGTGGAAATGAGAAGGAGCTTTTCACCCTGTCATATTCTGTACAAGGCCTTGCACCCCTTCGTTGTACTTTTTAATCGCCGTTTCGGAATTTAATAATTTTAGGCCGCAGGTCGCAGGTCGGAGGTCGGAGGACGTGGCCCTTGGGTCACTCGCCTTCTGCTCCACTCCTCCTCACTCCATGTCGAAACACATTTTCCCCATTTACTTTTCTCTTAACCATTTTTACACCTGTTTGCCATTTGCCATTTGTTTCGGGGCGAGCAAGTGGCAAAAAGATGATCTCGTGCTCGTGTTCTTGTTCTTATTATTGCTCTTGTTCTTGTTTTTCCGGCTTGACCTGTTGGCCTTCATTGCGGTTTATGGTAGCTTCCTTTTTGTTCTTAGTCCTGTGCTCCCAATTTCACTGCGAATAGGGCCGTGCAGTTGCTTTTCATTTACTTTTGTTGCGCATAAATTCATTATTGCTTACTTGGACTTGGAAACAAAGTTGCAAACGGGTTGACGCAATGGCGAAAGGCGTCCGGTCCGTTTGTGTCCACAAGCAGCAACAAATTTTAGTGAAAAACACAATTAAATGCTGTTTTTGACATCTTTACGAGCGTTTTAATTCTTTTTTCTTGCTGTTCTCCTGAAGTTTACACTTGTCTGCTCTCAAGCGCTACAATCTTAGGCATTGCGCAGAACTGGAAAATTATTAATTATATCTTTTGCACAGTCTCTTTACTTTTAGTTTTATTGAAACAAAAAGTCTTTAGCTTGCACAATGCAGTAATAGCCAGCACTTTCACCGCTCTGCTCGCTTCTTCTAAATATACTTTACTTTTCATAATCCCCGATATATGCAACATTATGCCGCAGCCACTACTGTTACTACAGCCACAGGAGGGGAGAAGAGGGCACAACATTGGATTTGTATCCCACAAAGGGATCGAGATTCCGTGGCATAGAAAATGCATCCGGGCCGTGGGGCATGAACACTGGTCACAGTTATACATAGTCATAGTCATTAAGATAAGTTAGTCTGTTGGACAATGGAAGCGGCACGTGCGTGACAAGTAAATTAACAACCAATCCCAACGTCCGCCCCCTGGGCCACAATTATCTGTCAAGCGACCATAAAAATGCTCAATTACACCAACGCGCTGCGTTTTCCAATATCCCAATAACCCAATAAACCTACATCTGTACCTCTGTACCTCTGTACATCTGTACATCCAATGCGGCACACGTGCAGCGCCACACATGGCACACATGCACCAAATAAATTATGAACTTACTATCGCCGAGCGATTTATCATCAGTTGGAAAGCTCGATAGTGCGATAAGCGAGGAGAAATCGGATTCGGCACACGCAAGTAGTAAATGCATTATCTCGCCAATTGCAAACTGTTTGAAAGTTTCGAAATAAACAAGTCCTGGCAACTTGGGCAACCTCTTGGGGGAGCTATATAAATTTCAAACTTATTGCCGGGGTCATAACTACAAGTATAATGAATGATTGCTAATTTGAGCATTGTGTGGCCTGTCTAATGTCTAATGTCTAATGTGTGGCATGTGTACTGTGTGGGGGCAGAAATGAATATTCTATTATCTGCTTTAATATCCATTATTGTAAATTGCGAAATCGTGACAACTCACATCCACTTTGGGGCCAAACACAAGGTTCACCTCGCAATAAAAGTGATTGAAAATTATTTGAAAAGTTGGGCGAAATTGTGTGTAACAGGTGGGCATTTTTTGTGTGTTTAAAGTGGATACAAATATTTGGCGTGAATTTTCCCTGAGCGGGAAATTGTTTCCACCGACAATGAACTTAACTTTTGAGTTTAATTAGCTTTGGCTAATTAACACAATTAGCTGGTTAATGAAACTTGCACTATTTACAACATTAAGCCGCTGAAACTTACCAGGTCTGTTGTGCAATTAGCTCCTTCGTCCTTCTGCAATTCACGTGTTTTGTTTACTCCAGTTTGTTTCAATTTGTATGCCTTTGGCTTGAAGGACCATCACGATTGCCTAACGAGGCCACCCTGCAAGATGCGGCAGAACAAAGAGGTAAAGTCAGTTAGTCTCGCCCTGTACAGTGCAGATTAAAGTAAATTTAATTCTAATTAGCCCCTTCACGGTTGGGCCAAGTGTCGCTGGCACATGAAGTGCGAACAACCAGTCGAATTGGGCACAGCACAAAGGGCGCCCTGAAATGGAATGCTCATGGCGCCGGAATGTGTTGGCGGCGATCAACTGTTAGTGGTCGCCCATTAGGTGCCTAATCGAGCGTGCCTCCCATCCGTAAGCCATCATATCCCGATATTGCCATATCCCAGAATCCCCATGCACCCCAATCCCGTACATAGCCGCTCCCCGCGAAACCAACCCGTCCATTCAATCCGTAACCGAATGCACACTAGTCTTACGGCACGCGAGCACGTGAGGAGGCGAGGAGCGAGCGATGCTGATTGACAGGAGCAGCCAATTAAGTGGTGCTCCTGGGCAACCTGGCTGGGGTAGCCCAGCACTTGGGCTCCATGCTGATTAGGGGGTTACCCGCGTGATACCCCGTGATACCCCGTGATGCCTTCCGTACCTGGTGCACTCCGGCTGTTTTGGATGTGCCAGCTCTCCAGGGCTGCCAGCGATTCCGGTTGTTCGACGTGTGCGAGTGTCAGTGTTTCTGCTGCTGGACTGACGATGGATTTATTTCAGCACAAAAATGGCAAACAGGAAGCAAGCGAATACAAGGACGAACGACGAGGGACGAGGGTGCTGCGACAGCTGCAGCTGCAAATGCAACAGCAACAGCAACAGCAACAGCTAGAGCTAGAGTAGAAGCCACTGCATTGTCACGACGACAGCTGTCCTGGCAACGTGCAACGCGAACGGGGACAGAGACAGGAACATCAATAGCCATAGAGCAATAGGAACAGCAACACGGGTCCGCGATTGCGGTAGGAGCGTCGGATGGAATCGCAAAAAAGCAACCACCCTCTTCCGGCTCACACTCAATCCCATCCCCATACCCATACCCATACCATCTACCATCCATCCGCATCCTACCCTCTTGCAACACGGCACACTCGAGCAGCCCGATTTGATATTAATTCAATGGAACTCCGTTATCGAATAAACATTCTCTGTTCATTATAAGGCGAGGGTTCGGTCTATCGACTCGCGGCAGAGGGGGCAGAGGGGGAGAGTCGGCGCAGCTGGAGGATCGTCAGCCACAATGGTTTGACCACACATAGAGCATGGCAGCATAGAAGGTTCGAGTGACTTCAAACTATGGGTATACAGGAACTTGTGCGAAAATGCAATACAGATCGAGTTAAATGTGTATTTTCTGGCCACCGAGTCGAGAATTCGATAGCAACTATCCGGTGGGGAAGCGCAATGTGTTCGTGCTTTTATATACATTTCCAATCCACTTTAATATTGATATGAAAACGTTCGCTCCACTTTAAGACCATCATATTTGCGGGCTACAATCTCGGGCCAAAGATTGCTCCATCTGCGTGCTGAACTGCGGTTGCTTTGCCAGCCACACAATTTGCAAACCGCGTTAAAGTGCCTTCTGCCAGGAGTCAGGGAATCAGATGCAGCTGCCGGTATCCTGGCCATCACATCCTGGTTGGGAGGGCGAACTTGGACGAAAGGGACGTCTCCTGGCACATCGAGCTTCACTTCACTTCACTTCGTTGCTGCACTTCCACCTTTCCGTGGGGGTTTGACTTTGGCTTTGGGTCCGGGTTCGGGTTCGGGTTTCGGTTTGGGTTGAGTTTGGCTCTGGGTCTGGGCTGCGAATTAAAGGTACATGGCTGCGTTGAGAGCTGCAGCGAAAATTTGCATAAGCAATTACGGGCGCTTTTTGTGCGGGGAGGCAGGCGGCTGGGTGGTTAGCACAAATATTGTCCTTCGCCGTCTATCCGTCTACTTTTCCACCGGGCCGCTCGAAGACCCGAGTTGAAGATGGCAGGGAGGAGGAGGAGGCGGTGGGAAATTCAAAGTAGGGAGGAATTCAGGATGCAATTGGCTGGGCTGGGTGTCGCCATCGAAGCAACGACATCATCGTCGCGAGTCGTCGCCAAGTGCCTGCCACGAAATTTGTAATGCATCACAACAAAAATGAGAGGTGTTGGCCAAAAATGCAACATTGCACTCAAGTGCAAGTTGTGCCAAAAGGGAAGAGGGCGAGAGGAACGAGGACGAGAAGGTGGGGCGCAAACGGAATGAGTGATTCGAAGGACCCTCTAATAGGGATCCCTATCCAGTGGCAATGTGATCAAAGAATGACGGCTCTTTGATGCAATTCAGGTGCCAAAGCATCATTAAATTCACATTTTTTGGTATTGCACGTTATTATGCAAGTACTTGTATACGTGTAGTATAAATTAAATCGGAGCACTTTATAAGTATTCTTAATTGGTATGATCATTTACAAGTTGCGGTGTTTATTTTTGTAAATATCCCAAGCTGCTAACTTCAAGCCTAGCAACTTGCAGACGAGAGAAGAATATAAAAAACTGCAAATTAATAAACTACTACGAGCGTTGGGATTAAAAATAAGTATTTTGAATTGCAATGTTTGCATGAGGGAATGCTGCAAAAACGGGGAGATGCGCCAGAAAAACCGACTATAATAAACTGCATCATGACGGAGGGAAAAAAAGGGAAACGGGCCGAAATGCTGTGGGGTTTCTTCCCGGACTGAACTTTTGAGGAAATCGGTTCACTGTTTGAGAGCTGTGCAAATTTCCCGGCTGCTAACAACATTCATTTGTGTGCCCTTTTTCAACGGAATTGCAGGCAATTAAAGTTGCAACTTAAAGGCACTGCCACCTCAACAAGCTGTTTGTTAAACACAAAGTAAGTGGCAATTTAATTGTTGCGAAATTTTCAAAGGTAGCGAAATTCTGCAGGTCATGTTGATTTATGGTCAGCGGTATTTTTTACTTTATTTTTTTTTGCTGGCCGCTATGTGTATCAATCAATTTCGCATTATTACAGGCGCATCAAGCACATAACTCATGTGGTTTTAAAGCTGTAATGTAATGTGTGTACCTACTTGACGATCAGAACTCAAGCTTCCAAACCAAACCAAGTCTTGTTATTGTACGCAATATCCTAGCATAAATACTGAGTGTTTGGAATATTAAATTAACACTTTCGATGTAGCCCTATATATAATATTTGGCCACTTTCGACCTCCTCGCCGCTGTTTCTTGTCCGGGGTCAGTAAAACCATTTTTGAGAGTTCCGCTCCACAGAACGCGGAAGTCTCGAACATTAGCCACTTTATAATATCGGCATTATTCGCGTTGCTGGAAAGAGCGAGCGTGGAATGGTGGCTAGAAGCACCTCGATAATTTAAGCCGCCTCAAAACCGAAAACCCTCCACAGCCAACGGGGCAAAACCGCTAACGGGTTCGTTAGACGCCGGCCACTGCAATCAGTTAAACAATGTTGCATATTAACGCGTAGCCCAGTGAAACAACAAATGTAGTACCGAACCTCACTCCACATTTCACAGCTGCCAGAGTCAAGGAGCGCGGAACGGAAGTGAACAGGACAGGACAGGAATGGTACGGAACGGAACGGACCGGACCGGACCGGACCATACCGGACCGCAATATCTTTGCATAAATAAAACATAAATTACCGACAGGCGGTGTCGGTCCTCGCTGGGCATGGCAGAGAGGCATAGAAGCAGAAGCAGAAGCAGGAACAGGAACAGAAACAGAAACAGGGGCGCGGAAAGGCATCTGGACTTTGGAGTGGATTGTATGGTAGTAGGGTGTGGCGGGATGGTAGGAGATGGTATGAGATGGTCTATGGTGGTAGTCTTGGTGGGCTAATTAAAACACTTGATGGCCTCTTCTGGCATGCGACGTGCCGCCCCTCTTCATCGCCACTCGACTGGGCGTCTGGCGTCTGGTGTCAAAACCTCCTAGCTGGCGGCCTTGTTGATGGGGAATTTCGAATGGCCCCGCGGCTGGAGAGGCTGAGGATGAGATGTAGCTGGTGGTGGAGGTGGAGATGGAGATGGAGGAGGAGGCGGAGGCGGAGGCGGCTAAGGTTGAGAGAATGATGTTGTTATTACACGGTTTTCCTAAGCCCCGTGATAAAGGGGGTGTTCTAGGTAATGGTAAGCCTTAACCTAAGGGCGTGTCGGCTTTATAACGCGGAAGGGACAGCTGTCGATGCGGAGTTTTTCGCTTTTCGGACCCTCAGCAAAAGCAAAGCAAAAGCAAATGCCAGCTCTCACCTGTCACGCATTGCAAATAATTTATTGATATTAAGTGCTATTAATTATGATGCCATTTAAGAATTTATTCATTGGAGACTTGGGTCGGTTTTGAGGCTTTGCCTTTGGTTTGTATATGATTTCTCTGGTCTGGTATAAATTGATTTCGTGAGCATAGCCGCGGAATTTTAATGTATTTTGAAGAGGCGGAGAAATGTTGTGGTGAACTGATTTATTTCGTACACTCCAATCAAAAATAGCCGAACGAGTGCGCTGAGTTTAGAAATTTGACAACAAAGGGACGCTTTCTCAGAACTTCAGAGGAATTTTGTGATACTTAGATATAGTTCTGAAAGTAGTAAAAATACGAATTTAAGGTGTGAAGAAGTTCTACCACATTGGTAGGTAAAAAAGAAGGAAAGTTTTTCCGAAAACATGCGCGATTTTGCAAACAACTATTACACTAAATTTGGGAGCCTACACTTTAAAATATTTTCTACTGCATATTTGGACTTATGGGTTGAAAATGAAATCAGTTTGTAAACCGCAAATCCGTGAGCTGTGTATTTCAGCTTTAAAACTATGTATTATAATTGAAAATTGCCTAACAATCGTTGTGGATGAAAAAGGCAATTGAAAATTGAAATACCATAAAGTACTAAAATCGTTGTTGGTTTTCTAGAAGTGTGCAGCCCACGACACGATGGGAACAAACATTGCGAATGGGCAAACTTGGTAAATGTTGTAAGTTGGCATCTTACCCGTCCGTTTGGGTTTATAGAGGGTCACGTG